AAGCCCGAGCCCACCGCTGACGGAGAGCCAGAGCCCGCTGCGACCGATGAGCCATTGCCAGAGAGAGCGACAGTGCTGAGGATCACCCCGGAGCCTGAGCCTGTGACGACATACCAGCTGCTAGAGCCGGCTACAGAGCTCGCCATGGGGGAGAGCGTCATGGACAGTGGCCCAGCGGCTCCACCATAGCTCCTAGCTCCCTCCTCTCCGCCATGGCCCATCAGTCCACTGGCTCCACCGGGCTCCCTTGTCCCTCCGGCTCCGCCTTGGTCTATCGTCAACCATCCGGCGCCTTGGGACTCCACTCCTCTGGCTGCGCCTTGTCCCTCCGGCTCTGTCAGGCTCCTCCATCCCTTTGGCTCCTCCTCAGTCCTCTGACGCTTCGACTCCACCGCGGCCTTCTGGATCCCCGCCTCAGTCGCCGGAGCCATCTGCTCCGCCTTGGTCCTCCGGATCCTCCCCGTCACCCTGGCTCATCAGCTCTACGTCTCCACCTCGGGCTCCTCCGTCACCTGCTCTGCCGCAGTCGGTTGGCCCCCTGGAGTCGTCAGCCCTTCCTCCTCCATGGCTCCACCCTCCATTGGCTCCACCGTGGATCGCCATTATGGCTGTGGCCTGGTCCCACCATGCACTGCATGCTCAAAGCCCCTCCTGTCATCTCCCTGGCTCCTTCCTCCGTCTGATCTGCCCTGGCTCCACCCTCCTTCATCACCTCCCTGGTCTCTCTCTGCCGGCCTCCTCCCGGGTGTCCATCCTCCTCCTGAGTCTCCTCCCAAGTTCCCACCCATCCCTCCTTCTGTTGTTGTTACGGAGCGGGACGCGCCTTCCGGGAGGAGGGAGTAATATCACGCCCTCCCCATGTGCTCCGTGACACAGTTTCTCCCTCTCATTGATGGTTCATTTGATTCAGGTGTGTCTTGTTGGTTAGTTCTAATTACCCCATGTATTTAAGTCTTAAAGTCTTAAATTTAAGACATGTTGTGAACGTGTGTCATCTTCCCTTCCTGGTGTGGATTTACCCCTATTTGGATTAAATAAAAGACTGTGTTTGCTATTCTACATCTCCATCGTTCCTTCCGGCAGCATATCGTGACAACCCAACCCTATAATTATGTCAAATTTACTTACTTTTTTAAAAATAAATGTTAAAGGTGGGGTAAGTGATGTCTGGTAGCCAATGTTGATATTTCAAATCACCAAAACAAACACATCCCTACCCCAAAAGGGTCTCGCCCCTATTTTGATAGCTCCGCCTCACACATACATATGCAACCCAGGCAACGATTAGGTCTGTGAAACAAAGCAAAACCAATGTTACACCGTGTCTACACCAGACGTGAGCGGCACGACAAAATACTATAGTAACTCATTATAATCAGTGATAATGTCTATGCTCTATCCTCTACATCATGAGTAGACACACCCCTTACTGCTGATTGGCTACAAGTTTGTTTTGGTATTCGGCCCGACTCTTTACTTAAATATGTAATGTGTAAAATTTACTTAAATGTGTTAAAAGTGCAAATTGTTACAAAGATTTTCTTTTTAAGTAAATCCCACAAGTTATGTTTTCCTATAGGATATTTTGATAAGGAATACTTTTGTCCTCTATAAGACAAGAGTCATACAAGTTCCCTTTCATGGGAACTTCGAACTGCGTCCTCTAGGGGTCGCTATGGGGAACGCCTCATCGTGACCCGTGTCTGAAGCATACATTGAAAAAACAACAACAACACGTTGGCCGGCGACAGCCATGATGTCACTACCGGTGCGACTATAGTATAAATAGATGCCGGGAGAACACATCATCCTCTTCCTCGTCTTCATTGACTGTTTTGTTTGAAGCGTGCATTTCTGTGGTAAGAGCGATCTCTATTCATATCATTATAGCAAGTACTAGCAAAGCATTTAGAGGATGTGTGCATCCGTGTTGTAGTTGTTTAACATCTGATGACACACACGATCTAGGCGTTATTTGTTTGGGCGAAGAGCATGCACGCGATGTCTCCGAGGGGACAATCGGCGTGCACTGCAAGCATTTTTCCAATGAAAAAGCTCCACTCTCGTTGTCTCTCTTTTCTAGGAAAGAGGGGCAGCCATCTGCTTCCCGCGATTCAGGACCCGCCGCTGCTGAGGCATGGAGGAGAATGAGTTCGTAGGGATCGCAGGTGGATCTGGCCGATGAGTTTGAAGAGGGGTTTTCCCTCTCGCGATCGTCCAGCCCAGCAAAAGCAGGAAATGTCTGAGGAGGGCAAAGAAGCTGAGGATGAGCCTGCCCAATCCTCCTGCCCTGTGTATGATGAGCTTTTTGAAAGTTAAGGATCGCGCCACGGCGAGGCTTTACTTGCCGTGAAGCGTGCAAAGAAAGTGACGTCGTGAGGTCATCTCGATGAATGTTATTTTTCTGGCCATAACCCTCCAGCTCAGGTGAGCCTTCCTTTCTTCCTGTTTTCCATACAGATATTGAGAAGGAATGGAAGAGGCCGTTTTTCCTCACGCATCCATCGATTCCAGCATATGAGTTATGCCAACATCCAGGCGATGCGCGAAAGCGGTTATGAGAAGATGTCCCTATAGAGAGACGCTGGCCAGCTATCTCTCTATGGGTGAGACGTCCTCTCTTAAGACTCCCTCCTTGACATCTCGCTCGAATGCTAGGGCATACGCAGCAGCAGCAGGTCAGGCTGTCGCTTCATTGCAGACGATGGTGATGCTCCAAGCATATCAGGCTGACCTGCTGAAAGACCTGGATAAAGGCGAGGGCCTTTCTCCTGATGAGATAGCTGAGTGCGCCGCACCACGGATCTCGCTCTCCATACTACTAAGCAGGCCATCCCTGCTAGCAGCAGGTCCATGGCGGCTATGGTAGTGACGGAGGGACATCTGGGGGTGAACCTAGCAGATATCGGGAAAAAAGAGAAGGGCTTTCTTCTCGATGCGCCGGTTTCGCCTTCCATATTTTTGATACCTCCGTAGAGACGGTGGTCGAGAAGTTCAGGGAGGCAAAGGCACGCTCAGCGGCCTTCACGAAGGTCCAGGTCTGAGCCCGAACAACCCAGGGGTCTTGGCCCATCTCGGTTTGAGTATCAAAGACGGGCACAGAAGGCTAGTGTCGCAGCTCGCTCTCCTCCCCCGCCCCCGGGTAGGGATAGGAAGAATCGCAGGTCATAGGAAGGTAGATAAAAGACCTAAGGGATATGATCCAGACAGGGCATCAGCGCTTTTGTCCGGATCAGAGTGATACCTCAGTATCTACTCATTTCCTTCGGTGGTTGTGTGTACCCTTCTGCTAGTTTCTTTGCAGTGTTTCCCGTGCTGGGTTCAGAAACTGGGTGTTCGACTTGCAGTGTTTATTTCACTCGTCGATATATGTCCAGACGGTACGATAAGCCGGATTTCGACTTCATACTTCCTGGATTATGCGGCCAGGTCACAGGCTTCTGCGGGAGCCGTCTTGATCATTAGGCCACATGGCACGGCACTGCAAATATTTCCTGGACGTCTGGGCTGGGCTTATGCTTTCAGGCTGCCCTGTCTGGTCTACCGTATCTAAATCGCCCTGAGGGTCCTCCCGATCACCAGGATATCCCCTCTTGCTGAGGCATCGAGCGGGAAGTATAGGTGGCATTTGCGAGAACCTTCTTGTGTAATGCTGTACTTCTGATTCTAACAATCACGCTGTAGGTCGAGCTGAGAGCTGGGTTTGGTGCTCCCTCAGCTAAGGTAAATTACTGCTAGCTGTTCCAGCATTGGAAAATGCTGTAGTTCGAGCCCCCTTCTCGACTGAGAACTGGGTGTGTTGCTCCCACAGCTAAGTAAATTTTTGCTAGCTGTTCCAGCTTTGGAACATGCTGCAGGTCGAGCCTCCTCTCATTTGAGAACTTGGGATGTTGCTCCCTCAGCTAAATAACTGCTAGCTGCTCCACCATTGGAACATGCTGTAGGTCAAGCTCCCTCTCGATTGAGAGCTGGATGTTTGCTCCCTCAGCTACAGATTTACTGCTAGCCACTCAAGCATTATAAGCCTTAGATCGAGTTGATGACTTCTCAAACATAGCATTTTGGGATGCACCATTTCCATCTATGGGCTGCTCTTTCAGAGTGCCACGAGAACCCCTTAGAACGGTATTTTTAAAATCCATGTTATGGTAAGTGTGCATGTGAAGTCTTTGTACACTTTCTAAAATCCACACTTTGGTAAGTTTGCACGCTAGTACTCTACGTTCTTTTCTAAAATCCTATATGGTAAGAGCTATGCACAGTAACCTGGTGCTCTTTCTGAGTGGTTTAAAACCCCGGTTCCGCCATGGGCACCACTCCACCTATGTATCCTCTGGATACCTACTTTAACAGGGTGTTGCTACTAGGGGTCTGTTCCTTTAGCATATGCAGAGCATGCGGTAGCCCTTGTGTGACAGGCCAAGACTTAGTATGATTCTAGGCTCTTGGTCGTATTCCCTTAAAGGAATCTATTCCTGATTCCAAGCCTTAAGCTCTACCCCGGGCCCAGGAGTTCTGGCCCTAACAGGAAAATTTTTTGGGGGGTATGTAGCCTAGGCCTTTGGCTGTAGGGAATAATGTCACTGACAGCCGTCTAGCGTCCCAGGGGCAACTCCCATGGCAATATGGTAGAGTTGGTACTTAGTGCTCGCCATGGTTTCTGGCATGCACTCCCATCAGCATGGTGAGGTGGGTATACCGTTCCCCTTAGCGACCCCTAGAGGAAGCAGTTTGAAGTTCCCATGAAAGGGAAAGTCTCAGGTTACGTATGTAACCCTGGTTCCCTTAGTAGGGAATGAGACACTGCGTCCTCTAGGTTTCTTGCCGTGCTTCGGACACATGCTTCAGACGAAGAAGTGGATGATGTGTTCTCCCGGCGCCTATTTATACTATAGTCGCACCGGTAGTGACGTCATGGCTGTCGCCGGCCAACGTGTTGTTGGTGTTTTTTCAATGTATGCTTCAGACACGGGTCACGACGAGGCGTTCCGCATAGCGAACCCTAGAGGACGCAGTGTCTCATTCCCTACTCATGGAACCATGGTTGCATACGTAACCTGATACGTTTTGAGTGATATGTGGGTAGATAGGTTGCAATTCTGTTTAATCAAATGATCTGTTAAAAGTGTGACTTGATTGGACTGTCCAATTTAAATTAATGAATATGTAATTTACACTACAATATTATAGATAAATACTTACAAAACCATGCAACTTATTTTTCAACAATGCAAGCATTGCTTGGAAGCTGTTTTTAAAACCACTTGCAAGTGTCTCTTTAGTCTAAATGGGCATGACACTTCTGCTACAATGCTCTCTTTTTTAAGCCACATTTTTTTCTTGTGTCCACCTGGTTTGGTTTGGACATGGCTGCTGGTGGTTCATTACGCTTCATCTGAGGAGTTCAGTGCGGGGTCAAAGGTCACGGAAGGTAAGGTTAGGTGCATAGGCTGTGTAATCCATTGACTGTCAGTGCAGCAGATCGGACCATATGCTGCCTCTACCATAAGTCATGTACCCATCTGCTGCACCAAAAGTTCCCAAAATTCCCAGTAAATGGAACTCAGCTTGTATTTCACAATTCTCAGATTACTTGTCTTTTGATATGTATATAGATTCTTAAATTTGTCCTGCTATATTTTCATGCTGGTTAAGACTGGTTTGCAGGTTAGTGCTGGTATGTCAGTGTTTTGGCTTGTAGCCAGTATTGCAATTTTAACCTGTATGTGAATGCTACTTCATGGATGTTTATTTAAGCAGTATTGTAAGATTTCTTTGCCCAAGGCCATGGCTTATTCACAATCATAGTTTGTCAACTGGAATATGCTTGGCAGCCAAAACACTCCATCATACCTTGGCCAAGTTTTCACATAACTAAAGCTGTACATTACTGTGCCAGCGATAGGAATCCACATGAATCACAATCCATGAAATCACAGCCAAATAATATTTTAGCCCATCTGTCTGAGTGTTAGTCTGCCGTATGACACTTCTGAAGCATGACATCTGCTTTGAAACGCAAGCTCATGAAAGCGCATTAGTCACAAAAGGCAAAGATAAACCAAATAATGTGCTCCCTTAACATCTCACAAATTACTGAATTTTGGTTTGCTTGTTATCTTATTATTTCCACTTACATCAGAAAAACAAGCTGCCGATCATGTGGTGATTGTAAATCTACTTTCTGCTGAGTTACTGACATTAACCAAATTTAGTCTACTGTAGATTATCTGGTAGATCACTGTGGCCATGAGTAAATGACTCTGTAAACAACAGGATGTCCTGATCTTGGCTTGTTAGATGCATAATTAGGATGAGATGTCCGCTCATGAACCCCTTAGTTGCTGTGGTTCAGATTTTAAAAAAATTGCTGTGGTTCAGATTTTTTAAAAATCTTAGATAATGAGTGATATCATATTTGTAATGCTGACACCTTGAGCATTTGCGGCAATACTTTATATATACAGAACTACTATATATAGAAATTAATGAAAAGTTCATGTTTGATATAAAATAAATGATCATAAAATAACTATTATTAATAGTATTATATTATTATTATTATTATATATTATTAATATTATTATTATTATTAGTAGTAGTAGTAGTATTAGTATTATTATTATATGTGATGTGTTGGTCTAGTGGCATGACATGCTTTTGAATGATTATTTGAATGTACAAAAACTCCATAATTTTGGATAGTAGTGAAAAAAAGGCTATACCAGGGGCCAGTTCAATAATAATATGTCAGTAATTAAGCAGATATGGGGCCCTATTTTAACGATCTAAGCGCATGGTCTAAAGCGCACAGGCAGGTCCACTCAGGGCATGTCCGAATCCACTTTTGCAAGTTTAACGATGGGAAAATGGTCGGCGCGCCTGGACGCATGGTCTAAACGGGTTGTCCCTATTCTCTTAATGAGTAATGGGTGTTTTTTGGGCGTAACGTGCAATCAACCAATCAGAGTCTCCCATCCCCTTTAAAAGCCAGTTGCGTTCGCGCCATGGCGGGTTCGCTATTTACATGGCAGAATGTAATTTTTCATTTTTAAAAATGTTTGTGTGCTGCTGCGCGTCCCTGTGTGTGTAATAAGTAAAGTGTACGCACGTTGTGCACCCGCCTATAGGTGCACATTACTAATGAGCACACCCATGGGCACACCCACCCAACGTGGCACAGGACGGGAAAATGAGAACTGCATCGGGCTGAAACTAGCAAAAACACTTGCGCCGCATTGCGCCGGGTGTATGATATGGCCCATGTTGTTTTATTGATTGAACTGTAAGATTAAGGAGAAAGAATATTTGAAAAAAGTACAAGTGCTATATGGAGACAAAAACTAGAACAACTGAAAGTAGAATAGATTGATCAAAAATTTAAACCAGAGTTATAGTCTTCTGGATTGTTCTGGTCAAATTTAACTCCTAATATAAAACAAGCATGCGTCTTCGGAATTTTCCAAGGATTACACTAGAGCCCGAAATATTCCTTTTTGTTAACGCTGCAGTAATTTTTTTTTTTAATTATTAGTCATGCTGAAGTATGCCAGTGGTTTCCTGACTAGACTTTAATGTAGTATTTTTGAACATTTCACGAAACAGTGCAGTTCCCTGTACGCTAAAGGAATCCTCTTTTAAAACCCATGTCAGCTCACGCTTGAGTTTGTTTATTCAGCACTGACTTTAAATTGACTGTAAATTACGATCTACGGATTAGAGGATCTGTTCAGAGTCATTAAGAAATACAAAATCATATTTATCATGATTTGGCTCAAGGTGAGGAATAAAGCTGGAAAGATTTACCAGGCTGTCTAGTTTCGACTTTCCATCACCAAATCTCTTCATTAAACATCAATTATCTGAAATGAACCATGCCTGCTGAAGACTCGAAGGCAACTGAAGCAGCTGAAAGTGTTGACGAGAATCTATATGAGGGCAGATTCACACATTTCCAGTGAGGGAGATTGATGACAACTGTTTAAATTATTACCAGAGGGCCCAGCATGAGAGAAAAACGGAGACAGGATCCAAAAACGACCCATGGTAATGTGAGTTACATAAAAGGAGACTAAGTCAATTGAGCTGAAGAAAAGTAAACATTACTGTGGCTACTTTATTGTTTGCTCTTATGTTGAAATCTTGATCTCTTTCTCTTCTTACTGGCTTCCACACACTCACATTCACACACACACACACACTTATACACATTTGTCTCTGCATGTCTATCAACTAAAGCAAACCATCTGTAATCTCTTCTCTTCATGCATGACTAATTAAAAAAATATGAGCCATTATTTGGAGGCAGTGGGTTCATTGCCCAAAATGCACACATTTCTAGTTAGTGAGGGGTAATGCCAGTGTGGCGCATGTGTTGTTTTGTTTTTCTACACACGTATGACAGCAGTATCACAAGAGTGAACAGAATATCAAAATGGCTGTGGTTTGGCACATTATTATTCAGACCAACAACACAATTGTGAATGTGATATTGCTTTTATACAACTAGATATCAGTCGATTAGAGAATGGGAACTGTTGTATAATTTTATTTATAAATTATTTTACCACTGCATTATTTGAGCCTAAGCCTTCAGAAATATTTGTTTAGAATAACATTTTGCTTGAAAGTATTTATCCAATGCTGAGTGCTAAAATGTTGTTGTAGTTGGAATACCCATATTATACTATTTACATTCACCAACTTCTACAGCATAGTTTTTCAAACCTCTAGTGGATAGAGTTGTTTGAGCAACAAAATGCACTTGTTTCCTTTACCCAGAGTTAATTTGGCTTGGTCTTCATTTGATTATGGGACATTTGTGAAGTTCAGTATCCATAAAGCAGCATAGTTATTATAGCTTCAAAGAGTCCTGTCACGTTCATTGTAGGAAAACTATGTCGTCCGGCCAGCTGAGAACACTCAAGTCACAGCCGTCTTCTAATATAGCCTCATATAGCCAGGAATGTGAGAAGAAATGAAAAAGAGATGCAAAAAAAGTGTGGCAGGGATGGAACATGCATGTTCATGTTGGAGCTTCTTTTGACTGCCACACACGGAAGAGAAGAAATTGTTGAATAAAGTCATTATTTTTGTTTTCTTTGTGCACAAAAAGTATTCGTGTAGCTTTATAAAAACGAAGGCTATTTTAATGATGTTCTTACTACCTTTCTGGGCCTTAAACATGGTAGTTGCATTGTTGTCTATGCAGAGTCAGAAAGCTCTCGGATTTCACCAAAACTATCTTAATTTGTGTTCTGAAGATGAACAAATGCCTTACGGGTTTGGAACGACATGAGAGTGAGTAATTAATGACAGAATTTTCATTATTGGGTGAACCCTTTAAAAGGCATAGTTTTGTCATTATACCCTCATTTTGTTCCAAAACCATATGAGTTTCTTTCCTAGCAAATTGGTCATAGATGTATCTTAGGTAGATTATGCAGATTATCCAAAACACAAAATAAGTTGGTCTTTTCCACATGATGAAATCAGAAAAGTTATTTCATGACCAAAAAATACATTGTCTTAAGGTGCAGCCACATAGCGAGGCCACATGATCAGTGATTTTGCAAATGAAGTGATGGGCGAAAGATTTCCCCATGCAGATTTCACTACAGGTTCAAGTTTTTCACATGAAAATGCTGTGCTGCAGAAAGCCGCTTAGTTTAAAAGTGTATTTTTGTGAGCTGTGCTTCATATATTGCTACACTATTGACAATAGATGTTTTTTTTTGTCTGTGGTGAATATTCACTAATGTGACCATACGTTTACTTGGGTAAATCACATTAAGACAGAATAGAGTTAATCCATCAATGAAAATTTGCTGAAGGTTTACTCACCCTCAAGGCCATCCAAGATGTAGATGAGTTTGTTTCTTTTTTCGAACAGATTTGGAGAAATTTAGCATGAAGTCACTTGTTCACCAATAGATCCTTTGGTGTGAATGGGTGCTGTCAGAATGAGTGTCCAAACAGCTGATAAAAACATCATAATAATCCACACGACTCCAGTCCAGTAATTAACATCTTTGTTAGAAAACAAATCCATCAATCAGGCATTTTAACTTTAAACTGCATGTCGCTTCTAGCCAAAAAGTCCATCCCCTGTTGTCATCTAACATCAAAATCCACCAACATATGTGTGTAGAACTCTTTTGGACTGTAAACTGTGCATATTTCTTTCCTGTTTCAAACGTGTTTATCACTGGAGAAAGCAAAATTATGGACAGAGGATTCTATTTTAGCCGAAAGCAACAGTTTGAAGTTAAAAATGTCTTCATGGATTTGTTTATTACAAAAAAAGGCAGCTTTTTGGTTCAGAATATGATAACTGATAGACCAGAGTATTGCCAAATATTTGTAGATTACTGTGATGATCTGTCCTGATGACAAAACAAACTCATCTACTCATCTGTTTTGGACGGCATGAGGGTGAGTTAATTTTCAGCACTTTAAAATGTTTGGGTGAACTATTCCTTTAAGCCTGTTTTGACACATCATACATTTTTAAGACTAACCGTAAATAGCGGAACTCTTGTTGCACATCAGCTTGTTATTGGATGAGAAATGTGAATGCATCACTGTCTCTGCTCCCTTCCTCTGTCATGTGCCCCCAAAACTGTGAGGAAAAACGTCTCAGGTTACATATGTAACCATGGTTCCCTGAGAAGGGAATGAGACACTGCGTCCTCTAAAGGTCGCTTTGGGGAACGCCTTCAGCTTGACCGGTGTCTGAAGCATACATCTAAACATGACAATAACATTGGCTGGCAACAGCCTATGATGTCATTATCTGGCATGATCACAGTATAAAAGGGCGCCGGGAGAACATGTCATCCGCTTCTTTGTCTGAAGCTTGCGTACGAAGCATGGTAAGGGAACTAGAGGACGCAGTGTCTCGTTCCCTTCTCAGGGAACTATGGTTACATACGTAACCTGAGACATTCCCTTCTGAGGGAACTTCAAACTGCATCCTCTAGAGGTCACTTTGGGGTACGGTATACCCACGCCACCATGCTGAGGGGAGTGCATGCCAGAAACCACGGCAAGCAATAAATACCAACTCTACCATAGCCATGGGAGTTGCCCCAAGGACACCTTGACGGCTGTCAGTGACATTATTCCCTTTGGCCAAGGGCCAAAAACAACTAAGTTAAACTATACCCTAAAACAACTTACCTGTTAAAGGCTGGGCTGGGAAGCCCAAGCCTAGGGCAGAGCTCAAGGCTTGCAATCAGAAGAAAGAGATTCCTTTAAGGGGATACGGCCAGGTGTCTAAAAAACCAAACCAGACCCTGGCCTGCCACCCAGGGGGCTACCGCCAGTTCTGAATGAACCTGCTCAAAGAACTGACTCGACAGATCTTTGGTAGCAACACCCTGCTCATAAATGTATCAACAAAGATACATAAGTTGAGTGGAGCCCAATGTGAGAACCGGGGCCTAAACCAACTCAGAGAAAGGGAACGAGGCTGACAGCGCGTAAACCTTACCATACAGGATTTTAGAAAGTGTGCAGAATGCCTAGCATGCACACTTACCACAATGTGGATTTTAGAAAGTGCACAGAAGCTCAGCATGTGCACTTACCATAGCACGGATTTAGAGACACTGTTACTAAGGGGTAGCCGAAGCTGTTACTTAGACAAGCCTAGGAACCCCACATGACTGTGGCATGCTCAGGGAGTGAAAAGTAATTCAGCGGGAGACCGCGTGCTCAGAGCGCATGTGAATTGAAAAGATATCTCATAGAAAAAACTTCCATGTGAGGGGAGTATCGCCAACTCAACCATAGCAGTCACAGAACATACTCCAGAGCATCTGCTCATGCATAACTAGAAGGAGCGTAGCACCCAGCTCTCAGACCGGGAGGGGGACACCAACGCCTGACTGGGAAGCAGTGTGCTCATAGATTACCCTCCAGGGTGAGGGGAGCACTGCTGAGCTCACCAAGAGAGCAGCCTAAGAGGAGCCAGCGGAGCTCACAGAGCGAAGGAATTGACTCTCAAATGAGTGGGACTCAGAAGCTCAGAAGGGAATAGCGTGCTCGCAAGAGACACTCCATGGTGAGGAGAGCACAGCTATTTCACTCAACAAGCAACCAGGTAGGGTAAGGTAGTAAGGTAAAGGTAGTAAGAACCAGGGAGGCAGAAGATGGCACAGCAACCTGGAGAGACTGCTAACCGGAGCTCAAAGGAGCAGAGGCCCACCTCCAAAAATATGAGGGGGACTCAGACGCTCAATCTGGGAGTGGTGCTGATAGGTGACTCTCTAGGGTGAGGGGGGCACGGTGAGCGTGATTTGACCAAGTACGCATGTACTCCGATCGGAGCTCAATGGAGCGGAGGTTTACTGGTTCGACCATAAGGGCAGTGTGACAGGGAGGTCCCGTGGGCCTGACTGGCAATCAAACTGCAGAGTGGAGTTAAGGAGTGTTAAGCCACTCGACGCCTTAGAGAGAGGAGCTCTAGCTCAGATAACGTGCATGATGGTTGAGAGGATGATTTAAATCTCAGGAGATCCCTCAGGGCGAGACATGAGTAGCACGTCCTGGCCGGGGCAGCTTCTCGAAGCAAACACCCATCTAGGACATCAGGGAGCACGTCACGAAGCATTATACTCCGAAAAATGCTCAACCTGAATGGAGGACCCGCGGGTCCTGAGGTTGCAGCGTCATACTGGGGTCCTCATGGCTAAGTAGACTCTCACAGAAGCCCAGCGACTTGGCTGCGTGGTCCAGTAAGCATGAAGCCGAAGATATAGGGCTATCATCCAGCCTGGATCCAGTACCGATGGGTGGGACCATCACCACAATCGGTCAACAGCAAAAGGTTCTGACTTTAGCAGGGGATGTGCTCGCAGAGGTCCTAACCCTAAAACAAAGTCAGAAAAACAGAGACAGGTCCAAGTAGCGCTACGGAGAAAGCTAGTTTGTGAATCCACATAAAATTAGCAGTAGAGTAGATGAAATGGATCAAACTCACCAACCACGGCTCCCGCGCATGACTCAAGCTCATGGATATAATCTGAAGGCGAAGTCTGAAGAGCGCTTGGGTCCGGAACCTAGTAGGTAGTTCTTTGAGACATAGAAACGAACAAAAACAGCATAGGTCCAGCATGAGAGACTGCAATGCAAGTGCAGGAGGGGAATCAAGCCTGAGTGCAGTATAATGTGGTTATCTGATAAGGACATGATATAAATCATCTGTCCAACAACTGCAGACAGATATCCACATTATACACTTCCTATGTAAACAGAAGGAAATTACAGATAGGGAAAACCCCACTGGGGCTAAACATGCTCCGCCCACAAGCTAGATTACCTCTGAAATCAAGCGAGAATGGAAACTGCTGCCATGAATGCATCACTATTCCTGTGAGCGGCGAACGCACTCATGCAAACGCTATCTACAAACTTGGGTAAATGGTGAAGTACTCACCTCCCCCTCAGTAGTTCCACGAATGCATCTCGATGAGCACAAGCCGTCTCCTCGTGAGACGAGTGCATTCAATTCATGATTATTCCCCACAAGAAATAAGCAATGAATGCAGAGTGCATCCAACTCCCTCGGGAGCTGAATGCTCTTGCTCTTCACCACACACACACAACACGCGTGCCGCGTGAAACTGTGGGTATCAGAGCAAAGCCTCTGGCGAGAGAACATGCACTCCTGGTCGTGCTTAGCTTAATGCTAACATAAACAAATGGTCAGTGAAGATGAAGAAGAGGATGATGTGTTCTCCCGGCGCCCTTTTATAGAGGGATCGTGCCAGGTAATGACGTCATAGGCTGTCACCGGCCAATGTTATTGTTGTGTTTAGATGTATGCATCAGACACTGGTCACGCTGAAGGCATTTCCCAAAGCGACCTCTAGAGGACGCATTTCGAAGTTCCCTCAGAAAGGAAATGATCTGTAAATCAAATCATCTAAACTCAGCTAATGGCTTACTTTGGGAATGCTTAAAAGCATTGCAAATGCATTTGGATGGGAGACCTGTGGAGGACAGTGCTTAATGCGATTCACACCTGAATACCGTAGAACAGTGGTTCTCAAACCTGTCCTGGAGTACCCCCAGCCCTGCACATTTTGTACGTCTCCCTCATCTATCACACCTGATTAAACTCATCAGCTCATTAGTGGAGACTGCAAGACCTGAAGTGGGTGTGTCAGATATAGGGAGACATACAAAATGTGTAGAGCTGGGGGTACTTCATGGAGAGGTTTGAGAACCACTGCCGTAGAAGGTAAAGTATTTCTGGTGTACATAGTCGAGTTTCCCAAGACAGACAGCTCAAATATGGATTCAGCAATATAATTATATTGTTAATACTTAATCATGTTTCTCAGATCTATCATAATGCATAAACATTAGAATTTTCCCTCCCATAGTTGCTAACATACTACGTATCCTGTAACCTTACATGACTTTCTCACACACATACAAAACAGTGTGTATGTTTTTTGAGTGAACACCATATCTGGCTCATCTCTTGCTGGCTGATGGCCTGTGAATACCGCTGCTGTTACCGCTAAACATTTGTTGGCTATTTTCTGGACACGCATGTGGCACTGCTACACATGCATACACATAAATCATCTTACACATGCTCACTAGCATTCACCTTTTAACTCCCATTATGGGCAAATATTCAGAATCTCAGGCTTGTCGAAATCCATTGAATCCATGTTGAAGAGAGTCTATCTCAGCCATCTCCCTAAGGACCTCTTGGATTCCAGACAGTTTCTGAGGAGAGCCAGAAGTCCCCCATCCCTACTCTCTGAATATATCTCCATAACAGCTGTGTACACTAATGCCTCTGATACACGTAAGACCACTTAGCTCATGGAAAAATCAGGAAAGGATTGGGGGACTGCCAAAGCAGCCAGTTATAAATTATGCTACCTTCTGAGAATGTAGGGAGATTTTGAAAGTCAGCAAATCTAATATCGAGCAACTGTTCAAAATTATAGGGAGAGCTGAAAGTTTACTGCTTATTTCATTGAAAAAAATTGACCTTGTTGATGTGATTACATATCCAAATGTCAGTTAAAAATTGTAATAAATGAAAATCAATCTATCTTTCTATCTCTGCGTGTGTCAATGATGACATTTTCAAGTTAAAGTATTTCCATTTCAAATATAAAAATAAAAGCAATCAGTACACTGTGATAATAATAAAAAATGTTTCTTACTCACTAAATCAGCATATTAAAATGATTTCTGTAGGATCATGTGACACCGAAAACTGAAGAAATGGCTGCTGAAGATTCAGCTTTGCCATCACTAATAATCATCAGTAAATTTATTTAAAATTCTAATAAGATTTCACAATATTACTGTGTAATGCAGCCGTCTTTCCAGAACATAAAAAACTATTACTGGCCCCAAACTTTTGAACAGTGCCTATATACAGGTGCATCTCAATAAATTAGAATGTCGTGGAAAAGTTCATTTATTTCAGTAATTCAACTCAAATTGTGAAACTTGTGTATTAAATAAATTCAATGCGTAGGCTATTGCTACAAATATACCCGTGTGACTTATGACCAGGGTCACAAATGCAAAAAAAAAATACATTGGCTTTCTCCACAGCTTAAATACACAGTGTGCAAAAATGCACACACTCACATCTGCTCAGTTCTATTTCTGATTGTTTTGAGCCTGTGCTGGTTTATAAATAGCTGATAATAACAGTTCTATTATTCTATAGCTTCCATTTTGTCTTACTTTGGATTTACTGTTGTGACCTGTCTGCACACAAATATATTCAAGTCTTCAAGCATTCTGTTCATTTATCCTACAGCCCTTAAGAACTGAAATTAATCCAAAATAGAGAGCCTGGCTGAACTAAAATAGCAATAAAGGTGTCACACTCACTCACATAAAAATACAAACTTCTAAATTCTCAGTGGTGATCTTATTTTCTGTTTCTGTTAAAGGCAAAGCATTGTGGGAGTAGAAGGATCCATTGAACTTCAGACAGAGCTAGGGTGGCGTCTCTTATATGTTCCCTTATATTTGCAATGGCACCATGCTAAATATAATGTCCACAAAATATAATTTCAGTTCGGGCCATTTCCACTGTCCTTTTCTGTGCACCACATTTTTAGCAGTTGGAATTTTTGCTCAAACCATGGGTGAAGTTTTAAGTGTAGGTAGACATTGTCTGGGGCTGACACACACAGAATGTGGAATAGTATATTATTATTATTATTATTATTATTATTATACAGTTAAGAATGAAATTGTTTTATCTTGTGAGAAAAGAATTACCAGGCTGGAAAAAAAAGAATAGGAGGGGCAGACATTAAGATGAGAGACAGAGATTTGAAAAGAGTGATGAATCTGATGAGTCAGTTTGAAATCACACACATCTCTCACACTCATTCTCTCTGGCATGTCTGAATGCAGTCGCTAAATTTGCAGTCGAGTGAGGAATAAAGGCTAGATAGAGATTCCACAAGTAAAGGCAGTTTCCCTGGTAATACTACATACGTTTTTCTTTGTGAGTCAGACACACACCACACTGTTTTACAGATCCAGACAAGAAAGACTGTGGAGACTATGGTCAGCATATTCCATACTTTTTTGTATCAGTATGTAGCATGCATAATGTACACTATATATATTTCAATGTTTCAGGTTCCTCAGCTCTTGTGGTCTTATGGGATAGCATAGTGTGCACTGATGTACAATTCAAAATCTTAGATTCAGTCATTGTTATTTATTTATTTATTTTACATATTATATAGGGAGGTCTGTGTGTTACAATGCAGGGAGTGGGATGAACAGGGATGCAAACTTGTAATCTTTCAGCGAAATTCGCCATTTTGAATCCAAAATAGGTCATGTACGTCCAATGAGTTTTTAAAATTTGATCAAACAATGTGTTTTTGGCAGCAATGATTATTGTAACCAATCCCAGGCATGCATGGCTAATCAGAGGTGTTTACTATAAATTAGTCCGAATCCACTCAATATCCTCAAAACACTGAATGAGTTTTTGTTTTTGAGTTCTACATGCTCACAAATCCTCTCATCATAACAAACTAAGCATAGACACAATGCAAATATGAGATGCATTGTGCAGTAGATTAATTTGTTGATTATAACAGGAGTTTTCATGCAAGTGAGCTCAGTCAGCCATGTAATAAAGGGAGCGCTCTTTGTTCGCTTTCTATTACCTAGTCATAATTTAAGGAAAGGGTGTCATGTTTCAGAGTTTCAAAGTTTCAGAAGTGACAAACTCGTCTAATTAAGGCAGTGAACCCACTCATTTGTTCTGTTAGTCACTCCTGAATTTATTATGACAACAGCAACATAAACAATAATAAGAAAAACAAGTCTTTCACATGCATCAAAAAGGCATCATATCACCTTTTGAAAATACTGGATATCAATACAATTTTCAACCTTTATTCTCCTTTGTGACTAAAATGGAATAAAATGTTGATTTCCAATTCACATACTATCCATTCTATTCAAAATGATGGCGCTTTTCCACTGCGTGGTACGGCTCGGCTCGGTTTGCGTTTCCACTGCAGTTTAGTAGCCTACCACTTTAGAGTGGGTGGGATTAATTACATGTCGTTATAGTTGCGCCGCCGCCTCTACTGCCGTGACTCCTGGAAAACTTTTTCATTCTGCGTCGCCCATCAAGCTCTCGCTGGATCCGCTCCTCAGCTTTTAACGAGAGGAATGGCTGTACTTCCTCAACAGGCCACAGAACCATTTTTTGGCTGTTGAAAAAAGGTGCCCTCGTTCAAAACAGTTGCGTTCGATCCTTCGCTGGCTGTGCTGTTTTAAATCTAGAGCAGTGATTCTCAAACTTTTTACAGCGGCGTACCCCCTGGGGCATTTAACATTCTTCTGCGAACCCCCCCTCCTCCACTTAGACCGCAGATATTTTATTTTTTACCTTTATAGAGGCAAATATTTTCTATCCTTATTAAATGTATCTTATGTCATGTTTTATGTCATAGTCTTAACATTCCATTAAGTGTAGGCTATTATTATTAATACAATAAAGCAATAAATTATGGCAA